TGCCGGGACAGTTGAATCAGATTGCCAGTGGCAACATCATGGGGCTCATGCCTGGGCCAATGCAACTTCTTGGAGGTGGCCAGACGAATTCCATCCAAAATATGCTTGCCTTGGGCGACGCGCTCATGAAGTGTTCAGACTCACAGCAGCAGGACTTAGTCCAGTGCCTCGGCTTCCAGATTGTTGGGAGCGTCCCTCCCCTGAACTTCCTGAACCGCCTGGGCGACATCTTCGGAGAGTTCATCGCCGCCTTCGCAAAGGTCGCCTCCACAGTGGCGGCTCAAGCGATGAAGGGAGGGGAATCGTTGCTGCAGACCGCGGCCACCACGGAGTTCCCCTCTGCCGGCGCTCAGGCGATGGTGCATCACAGAGGCCAGGAACTCAGCACCTCTAGAGCACTTTAGACATCTTGCGGAACACAGGGCCTCCTGTGNNGCGATGGAAGAGACGAACTCCCTTATTCTGTCGGCGCACTAGCTGTGCAAGACAGACTTTGCAGCTTGTGTTGACGGTGCTACACAGTATCAACCTGCTATCACCTGAATCCGCAGGACCCAACCTCGTCATTACGAAGCACTCGCAGCAGCTGCCAACGAGACAGCAAGCGCTGTTGCAGGAGATGGCCAACCTGGAGGCATGCTCCGTTGCACAGCCATTGCAGAAGTCCTAAAGTAAGAGAAGCTGCCCCCATGCGCCGGTGCAGGTCCCGACATCAAGCATTTGCAGCCAAAACTAAGACCGATAGCCAAGCTGCTGTGTGTATATGCATATCTCTACACATTTATCTGTACATGTATGGACATGTATATATATGTGTGTGCGATCTTTCCGTCGATCCATCCGCCTATGTAGAGGTATACCTATCCATCGATCCATCTATTAACGCATCCTTTTATCTCGGTCTATCTATCTATCTATCTATCTATCTATTTATCTATCTATCTATCTATCTACCTATCTATCTATCTATCTATCTATCTATCTACAGTATCCATCCACTTGTCTATCCTTCTATCTATCTATCTATCTATCTATCTAGCTAGCTATCCGTCTATCCATCTATGTATGTGTCTATCTATCTACCTATCTATCTGTTCATCTATCTATCAGTCTATCCTTATATCCATTTACCAATCTAGCTATCATCTGTCGATCTATCTATCTATCTATCCATCCATCGATATCTACCTATCTATCTATCGGTCTATCTGTCTACCTACCTATCTATCTGTTTATCTGTCTATCTATCTATCTATCTATCTATCTATCTATCTATATCTATCTACCAATTTATCTATCCATCTATCCATCTACCTATCGGCATAGGCATCAAAAAATTGATAAGCATCAAGACTGATCAAGACTTACTTTGATAAGCATCAAAAAACTTGCTGCCAGACTTGTAAATTACAGCATTTCCTATTCCGCATGCTGCTGTCCCGTGGTGCCCCGGTGTCCTGTGGTCCTGCGGTCCTCTGGTCCCCTGGTCCCGTTGTCCTCGGGTCCCGTGGTCCATATATATATATATATGATACTTATTATTAACGACTCTTCGTCTTAGTATTAGCAGGACAGGAATATGCACGTGGCAGTCTAGCAATACATGTTACTGCTAGCACTACTACGGCTAGGAGCATGTCTAAGATATATGATGATATGGAATCGCCAAACAAGGGGGCATGTTTAAGATATATGATGGACCGGAATCGCCAAATGAGGGGGCATGTTTTAGATTCGGTAGTCGCCAAATGAGTGGGCGTGTTTAAGATACATGACGAAACGGAATCGCCAAGAAAGGGGGCGTGTGTAAGATATATATTGATGAACCGGAATCGCCAAACAAGGGGGGGCATGTATTAGATATTTGATGACTAGGAATCGCCAAATGAGGGGGCGTGTTGAGATACATGAGGAATCGAAATCGAAATCGCCACACGAGGGGGCGTGTGTGTTACTCGTATGATATATGATGAACCGGAATCGCCAAATAATTGAGCGGGTATGTTGAAGATATGTCTATATTTAAAGACATTATAATGCTCATATGATGAACTGGAGTCGCGGAATGAGGGGGGGGGCGCGAGATATGTGAGTTGAATAGCAGGATACATATTCGCGTGTGAATATGCGAAGATAGTGTAAGTGATAACATTTTCTCATCGGCTGGAGCCAAGCTTCTGAGGACTCTCACAATTGCTGGAACTTACAGCCTCAGCAGCTTCTGCATAGGGCTCGCCCGGCGAGAATCCTGCGTAAATGTCCGGGGACCAAATCTGCACCACGTGCTGTAAATAATAGGTTGCAGGGAGTTAGGCAAAGTGTGAAGAAAAGTGCAATAATTCGAACTTAACTGACAGTTTCCACCTGGTCACAGTTGCAGATGCTTTGGGACAGGAAATCGAAAAACATTCCAACAAAGCAAGGAGTCCTAGATTAATTCTCGATCCCTACTAATATCATTATTCTTCGAGTATGACTTTGGTTTTGTTAATTTCAACGCTACGCCGCCCGCCTCGGCTGCTGAGGGCCAGAAGGCACGGAAAGCTGCGGCTTTGCATGAGTAGTCTACTGGGGGGGTGGAAAATGGACGCAAAAACCAGGTGGTTCCAACCGTTTGGACTGCAGGGAGGAGGATAAGGTGGAGGGTACTTGAGGTAACCCCCAAGACGCCTGCCCACTGCACTAACGGCTTCCTCCAATGTTACCTGGCAAGCTGTGCTTCTGCTTTTTCATACTCTTCAGGCCTCTCCAGCCGTGCCGTCCCA